GTAGACCTCTATAGATGGTTGCCATTCTCTATTGCTGTATATAATCATTGGTTATACAGCAATGGAAAATGGTAACCAGCAAGAGGACTACAGATCCCATTAATCCATGATTAAACAGCAATTATACAGGGCTGTGTGGGGGCTCACCAGGGCTGCGTTTGGGTCTCACCAGGGCTGCGTTTGGTTCTCACCAGGGCTGGGTTTGGGTCTCACCAGTGCTGCGTTTGGGTCTCACCAGGGCTGTGTGCAGATCTCAACAGGGCTGCTTTTGGGTCTCTCCAGGGCTCTGCAGGTGGGTGCCGGGCTGAACTGATGGATGCCGGGCTTAGCGGTAGAGTGCTGGGGCTGTACAGGCAGGTGTGGGGCTGTCCTGTGCTGTGCTTGCGCCGGGAAGTAGGAGAAGGCAATGTATGCTGTGTCAAAGACTGCTGTCTTAGGTCCCCAGCAAGCACGGGACCTCAGGCAGCCGAAGTTGTTTAAAAATATAAAGGGTCGGTATCAGCCTTTAGTATCTGGGAATTTTCACAAGTGCAATTGCTCGTGAAAGTGCTCTGTATCAGCCACGATACTAATACTAGTATGGGTATCGGGACATCCCTTCTCAGAACTGTGCTTGGTGTGGTCAATTAACATTTGTAGCAATTAGCTGTGGATGACGTAAGCAGCATTCCGGGAGATTGTATCTGTGATGATTAAGAAGCTATTTTGAAGCAACATTATGTGATGTAACTCCACAACAGAAACTGTTTGTATGCTTTGATATTCAATATTAACATTGAAGTTCAGCAGCTCTTCGTTGCTTTTAAATAAATACTGCAGTAAACTTGAATGTTGCTGATTTTCCAGTTTTCCCACTAGGATGCTTCTTAAAAATGTAGAAATGTGCATATTTTCCCTGGAGACACTTAAAGAGCACTTACACTAATTAGCTCAGCTGCAGTGTCTGTAAGTCTCTCTACGGTTAAGGACTGGTCTACAGGGAAGAGGGCAAATTGCCCCCTGGGCCAGTATCAATAAAATATGTTGGGGTGGTGGATCTGAGTGGGTATACTTTACTATTCAGACATTGATTCAGGCCCACATTCCACACACATGCTTGGCCTTTTTTAGTTGCCTGCTCCCATTCAGAACTGCAATCACAACTTTTGTCAAAGGGAAGTCTCAGGCCTTGTTCACACCATGTCTGGACCAGATCTGGAGCAGATGTGCAAACACAGTGCGTTTTTTATGCATTCTGGGCATTTTTGTTTTTAGCTTCAGTCTCCTGCGGCTCTGACCCCCCTGGAGCCCGCATTGACTGCCTGGAGCCCGCACTGACCTCCTGAGAGCCCGCTCTAAACCCCCCTGGAGCCAGCACTGACCCTTGAGAGCCAGCACTGACTGCCTGAGAGCCCGCACTGATCGCCTGGAGGCTGCACTGACCACTTGGAGCCCGCACTGTCCACCTGGAGCCCGCACTGTCCACCTGGAGCCCGCACTGACCGCCTGAGAGCCCGCACTGGCCCTCATAGAGCCATGCTGGCCACCTAAGAACCTGAACAGTCTCCTGAGAGCCTGCACAGCCCCCCCTAAACCCTGCACAGCTTTCCTGAGACCCTGGAGGCATCAGGCCCAGAACCCAGAGCAACACAGAGTATGTAGCTTCATATTATTCTGCATTGCTGTATAAAGTATTGCTAGGATTTGTAGTCCTGATCAATTTTAAGATTTAACTCCTGAGGTTAGTGTCATTTAAACAGCATGTGAAATAGCTTAGAAACCTTTTGACTTTAATATCACTTTAACATTTTGAAAATATGGTTTTGTAATTGTCACCTTTATACCTAACTATATGTTCATTGATTAATGTATACTTCAAGAGTTCTTCTGATCCTTTGGTTAATTTCTTTTGTTTATATTGATATGCATGTGTGTGATCATTTGTTCATTTGACTTTGCCATTTTTCACCTTTGAGTCTTCTTCTGTAGGGATTGAGTGTTCTTTAATAGGGATTGCTCAGACCCTATTTGGGATTTGACACATACACTTACACAGTAGACATGTGCGATTAATTTAGTTCCGTATCAAAATTCGGACACATCCGAATTTCTGAATCCCAATGCATCCGAATGTGTCCGAATCCAAATTTCCGTTTTACGAATTTCGGATGCCGTATGAATTTCATTCAAAAACTAAACTGAATCGGGCATGTGACTTTTCTGGCCAATCAGATGTGTTTTTCGGTTTAATGCATCCGAATGGGTCTGAACACTAATTTTTGTTACAGCAACATGGGAGCTATATACAGTATATACATATAATACCAAAGCTGAGGCTTCTAGACCCAAATGGCATTCGGGATCCAAATCTCCGAATTGCATTCAGGAGCTCCCGAATTCCAATTGGGTCTGGAAGCCTCAGCTTTAATATGGCCCCCAGACCTGTATTGCTTTCTGAAGCTCCCGAATGGTATTATGAAATTCGTACTCCCATATACCTTTCGGGCCTGGGAGCTTAAGCTTTAGTATTAATATCTGTATATGGTTTTCTGTGGTATTCGCAGCGAATATTGTAAACTCATCCGAAACTAGCGAATCTCGAATGCCGAAATAATGAAATATCCGAACCAAAAATTTTCCACAGCTTATATGCCTATTACACAGTATATTTTTCAAAATATTGCTCATTTGGATACATTCCTTTCAGATGAGAACATATGGTGATTCCCCATAAATGTTTTGAATGTTTTTACGGGTTTTGGTTGTATAATGTGCACAGTTGTACAATTAGACATTTGTCAATTTAGAACATTATTGTAGGAGATTTTGCTTTGTATTTTGAAGAAACATAGGCTGATATACAATAGTGCATGTGATGTCACATACAATCACAGAGATTTCTAATGAATGCGGCCCCCACACCTTATTGGAATGCTACAGCTAGGTATATTATAACACAATATTATATTGAAAGGTGTTTGAATAGTATTCATGCTTACAGTGGCTCACTGCTGCTTTTATTACAAGAGTGTTGCTCACAAACTGAAAACATTGAATCTAACATCTTATCCAAGTAAAGTGAAGAAAAAGATCCCATTATCTGCTAACACAACTACCAACAAAGCCACATATACACTATATTACCAAAAGTATTGGGACGCCTGCCTTTACACACACATGAACTCTAATGGCATCCCAGTCTTAGTCCGTAGGGTTCAATATTAAGTTGTCGCATCACCACTGCATCCGACACTTTACATTGCACTTGGTGCTGTAAGGCTTGGGTGCAGCTGCTCAGCCATTCCATGAAGCTCTCTACGCACTGTTGTTGTGCCAATCTGAAGGCCAAACAAAGTTTGGAGGTCTGTAGCTATTGACTCTGCAGACAGTTGGCAACTTCTGCGCACTGTGCTCTTCAGCATGCGCTGACCCTGCTCTGTCATTTTACGTGGCCTACCACTTTGTGGCTGAGTTGCTGTTGTTCCCAGTTGCTTCCACTTTGTTATAATACCACTAACAGTTGACAGTGGAATATTTCACGGAACACCTGAATCCAATGATTTGGAGGGTTGTCCCAATACTTTTGGTAATATAGTGTAACTTTTATGTATACAGCCAACTTAAGGATGTGATTTAAGAAGCAGATCTTAAACTGAACCTAACATCTGAGATATATTTTTCATGTTAAGCATGATAAGCAATGTCTTAGAGGTCTACTTATAAATAACATGCAGATCCATTCACCCTGCAAATCTCTTTGAACATTCGTTCTGTGCAATTAGAGGCAAAAATGAATGTACTTCAGTTGGAGCTGGTTGTAATGTAATACCACATTGTTACCACTAGATGGAGCTGAGGAGTATAGGACAGCAATACTTATTTCCATGCTCCTCAGCTCCATCTAGTGGCCATAATGTGGTATTACATTACATTCAACCCGAAAAGAAAATATACTAAGAATGTTAATTTTTGCCTCTATTTGCACAGGACGAACGTTCACAGAGATTTGCACAAACTGTTTCTAAACAGAGTCCTTAGTGTAACACTTACAGGGATTTATTACTTCTCATAGAGACCACAACACTTTCCCTGACAATTCCTTTACTTGTTTTTTTGTTTTAAAAGGACCAATTCATCTTTGCTCGGTCCAGATTTAGCACTTACTTCCTGGGCTGATATGGCGGCTTAGAAATGACACGATATGGCGGCTTAGAAATTACCCTGGTGCCTGTGCAGGTCTTAGCTGTGTCCATAACCATCTGACACATTAGACCCCGGCTGCAGCCTTGCTACAACCTTACAATAAACTGGGGGGAGAGAAATCAAAGTAAATGCTTCCTCTTGCTGACCAACAGCTCCTGGTCACTGTTTATAATCAAGAGCCAGTGGGATGGGCTCCAGACCATGTGACCACTGTGACAGCCAACCACAGTGATCACATGATCAGGAAGCCCATCTGCAAATCACCCTGTTTAGAGCCGCTTTAAGGGCCAACAGGAGCCGCCAATAAGGGTTTAAAGAAGAACTCCAGTCATATTAAACATTAACCCCCTTCTCTCGGGCTACACACACACTGCAAGGGTTAGGTGCTCGACTCACAAGATCCTCGGTCCTGTGGCGGTGACTGCTCACCTCTCTCCCCATCTGCTCTGGCTGTGGTATCTTTCGGTGTCCTCACATCCAGTGCAAGTGAATGGATTTGATGACATCAGCGGGGCTTTGCCCGCCGGAGCCTGAGTGAGAAGGAGCTCTGAGGACCAGTCTAGCAGCCTGGTTGGACTGAGGATTCGGTGAACCTATCTTTTTTTATTTTGAACCTTAGACCAAAGCGAGCATGTAACCCTTGTAGTGCTGGGGTAGCCTCACTGCAAGGGTTAATGTTTAATATGCCCAGAGTTCTTCTTTAAACATTACACTGTTGCTATATGTTGTAACATATAAAAGTCAAAAATGTATTCATACAGATTTGTAACGTTATTGAAAGATCAGCTTTAACCTTTTTATTTTGTTTACATCTTTAGATGTATGGGACTCCACAACTCAACCAGTCACTGAATGTAATCCTGTCCTTCTCCAACCCTTTCAATGAAGTTCTAAGCAACTGTGTTATGACCGCAGAGGGGGCAGGGCTATTTCCAGGTGGCCCTATAACAGTACAGTAAGTGAGATACTATCACTATTATCCATTAGGCCAATGAAAAGAGCAACCAATCACAATGCATCAATGCGTGGTGTGATTACAGCAAGCTTGGTTACTATTAGCAATCATTATGGTGCTTTTCACTTTCTAAATAGAAACTGATGGTGTTGTGTTTTGTTTTGTTTTTCATTTCCAGCTTAGTAAGTTGGAGTTTGAAAGTTTTCTTTTAAGTTGTCCTTTAAAAAAAAAAAACCCTGAGTGCACCTTGCCTGGAAATACTTTCCTTTCTGTCTTCTCCAGTGATCATCACTGTGCACCTCTGCTCAGCACCTCACAGCTTTTGCAAGAAAACTAATGCTGATAACAGACCCCGAGAAAATGGTTATATAACAATGATAGAATAAGGAGTACAGAAAACTAAAGGCTTTGCTATTTACCATGCCTACCCTCCTCCTACAGCCTGAAACGTGTGTCAGTTATTAGCTCTGAGATCAGCAGGACATTGCTCAATTTCTACACAGACCTTATTGCTTGATACTATTATAATTAGAGGTGCACCGAAATGGAAATTTCAAAACCGAAACGAAACCGAAATAAAAAAAAATTAAAAAAGATGTCAGGCCCAAACCGAAAATGTTTTTTAGTAAAGAAAAAATCAGATTTTTTCAAATATTTTATAAACATTTTTACTTTGTTATATTTATTTGTATTTATTTATTCATTTTTTATTAAACATTTTTATTTTTTACTTTACTTTTAGGGGCTTCGGGGAAATATTAGGGGTCTAAACAGACCACTGATATTTCCCTTTTAAAATAGAAAAAGAGATTGAGGACACAAAGTCCTCCGAGACACAGAGTCCTCTATCTCTTTTTCTGTGTCCCTTGTTATCGATGAACAGGAATCCTCTATGAGTGTTCCTGTTCATTCATAACTTGGAGATAGTGTGTTTACTATAACCACAATCATGAATGAACAGGAGGTGATGTAGATCACTTCCCATTCATTCATAATTGAGGATATAGTAACCATACCATGTTCTCAATTATCTACAAACACTTAGTGATCACTGATCGCTGAGTGTTTGCATTGGCTCTCCTTTCTGACAGCTGTCACAGGAGGCTGAGCGAGAAGTGCAGGGAGGAGAGCTCAGCCTCCTGTGACAGTGCGGGCTGTCTCCGCCCACACGCTGCTCTGCCGGACTGGGACAGGAGGCTGAGCGGTGTGAGAGGAGAGACACTGGTCGCTCACAGGGCTCTACTCCCACAGCGCTTGGCCGTCTGTCAGTTTCTCTCCTCCCTGCTGGAACACAGAGCAGCGCCCAGCGGGGAGGAGAGAATACTCGGATGCGCTGTTGTATCGGCAGAAAAATTGCACTTTCGGCATTTAGCCAAAAGTGCTATTTTCGGCCAATATGTTTCGGCGGCCGATATATCAGTGCATCCCTAATTATAATGTTATTCGAACATGTACTTTGCCCACAAAGGGCAAAGCAGCAAGTTTATTTTTATGGCAACAAGACATGTGCGATTCATTTAGTTCCGAATCGAAATTCGAACAAAATTTTTGAAATCCGTTCGCACAAAACCCCACATTTCGGAAAATTCGTCCGAATTACAAATCCGAATTACAAATCCGATCCAAATTACGAATCCGATCCAAATTACGAATTCGATCCGAAACCCAAAACGAAACACATACAGGACCCGATTTTTTGGAAATCCGAAATAAAGGAAATCTGAAATGAAACAAAACAATTTTTTTGCGGATGCACATGTCTAACGGCAACCCCACCAGCAGCAGCACATACTAGCTTCTCCTTCGCTCCTTCACCATGGAGAATAGCTGGGAGCTAAGAACTTCTGGTAAGTATTTCAGGCATGGGGGCCATGTGACAACACTGGCGCTTGACAATTAACTGCTAAGGCGGGAGGGGAAGCATGGATAATGTCCTCACCCTTGTGAAAGCTCCAACACATAATACACACGGACCAGTGGAGGTTCTGTGTTCACTGAAAGCAGCTCATACTAAACAACCAATCCCCTATTAGCACGGGTGTGATGACCTCCAGTTTCTTTTTTGTAACGTGTGCTCTTATAAAGAAGTACTATTCTTCCTTATTAGGAAAACTGCTTATAGGAAAGCATACTACTTTCTTTTTAAGTTGCTAAGATCACAGGAGATGGAGAATCTTGCCCCATAATACCCAGTGGCCTTAAAATGAGATTAAACTCAAGAGTTAAAGCTTAAAAATGCATTCAAGCTCCTTAACGATTAAGAAAAATGTATCCTATTTGTCAGTGGTGGAACTATTAACCAAAGGGCCCTGGTGCAAGATTTTATCTTGGGGCCACACTGGCCCCCGCTTCCACTGGGCCCCCCCACAGCCTCAGGCCCCGGTGCCCCGGCACCGCCTGCACCGGCGGTAGCTCCGCCACTGCTATTTGTGTATCAGTCAACGGTAGGTCCTCAAATCATCTCTCAATTGGTGCTGACACTGTCCTTCCTTCTGGAGGGTGGCTACTTTTGTTCCCCATGGTCCCTGTGTGTGTTTTGAAGTAGCCACCGCTCCAAACTCATTTCCATGAATGACTACAATCTCATTACAAATTAGTAAACTAAATATGAGATTGTAGTCCATTACGGGAACAAGCTTGGAGTGGTGACTACTTTAAAACATTCACAGGGACCAGGGGGAACAAAAGTAGTCACCCTCCAGAAGGAAGGACAGTGTCAGCAACAATTCAGAGATGATTTGATGATTTACAGCTCAGTGATGCACAAATAAGACATTTTCATTAATAGTTAAGGTACTTGAATGCATGTTTAAGATTTAACTTCTGAGTTTAGTGTCACTTTAAAAGCAGGTTTTCCATTGGACCCCGATCAGAGCCCATGTTCCGTTTGTGGCCTTTCTTTTTGCCTCTCTGCTCCATACTGAACTGCCCATCAATTGAGTTCACTATGTCAGATCATGGCCATATTGGATGTTCCATCATTCCTTCATTTCTAACAGAAGTTCTAATAGCAGGGCCACTCTAATAGAGTTTCCAGCTCTCAGCCCTCAGTGACATTTTAAAATCAGACAATGCACAATGTCAACGCCAAATTCTAATAGCAAGACCACTCTACCAGAGTTTCAGGCTCTGTCAGTCCTCAGTGCCTTTTTAAAATCAGGCAATGTCAATGCCAAATTCTAATAGCAAGACTACTCTACTAGAGTTTCCAGCAATGTCAATCCTCAGTGCCATTGTAAAATCAGGAAATATTTTTTTTTTTAAATGGAAAAGGCAGCATGACACCTCCTCTTAATAACCACCCCTTCCCGGGTATCAGAACAGATAACTTATGTGCAGGGGTCCTCCAAAGGTAGAGATATCAGCCCTTGGTTTACCATCTACCCAAACTTGAAATATCAGATTTGAAGACAATGACCATATCATGTAAACAGCATATATTTGTGTGTGTCACCCCTTTAAAAACAACAGTACACAATTATATAAGCTTCTCAGGATAACATTCTGCAAAATATATAATTTGCTAACACAACATTTGGAATGTATGAGATATGTCCATCCCTCTGTTGTAAACCCATGTTTGATAAACCTTTTTTTTTTATATCTGACCCTTTTCTTCAGCATGGACCAGATTTTCCCGAGGCGGGTCGGCTTTGTAAGAATCTATTGTGTTCCATTCAAAAGAGGAAACCTTCAACTTGAAGCCAGCTTCTCCTGCAATAAGATCAGATATGTGAAAGGAAGCGAAATGGTCAATGTACCCTGGATGTAACTGGTCACTTTTGACTACCTGATCCACCTCATTATTTAAAACACTTGGGAAGACTGTTGGAATTCATTTTACTATTTATTTTAACAAGATGCCAAATTTTACAATATTATTTTTTCTCTTATGTATTTATAGATTCTTTTTTTGTATACTGTATGTAATTACAAATTGATGTAAACTGCACTGCTGATCTCAGGTTATTGTTACTGAAAAACATAATGCTTTACCAAGAGATCTTGTGCTCTAGACTAAACCTCTTCATCTGTAGGATCTGTAGGTTCCCATATCTATTGAAGACTTTATTGGTGAGCTCTTGAGCTCCTGGGTCTGCGCTCCTGCTGTAGCCACATTGAGAGGCACAACTTTCCCTGCTGGATTTTTTAATAATGTATTGAATTATGCCTCTGGAAGTCATTCTTGTGGCTTTTAGAGTCTTGCATGTCCCCATAGGATTTGTAAGTCCAAAACAGTTGGAGTGCCAAGGTTGCCTATCCCTGTTATAGGGAATTTACCAGGAACACGCAAGGAGGGTGCGGACGCTCAAAACTCCCTGGCAGAAAGAACTAATGGCAGGCAAATATAATTCTTGGTGTGTCCAACACGATAAGGAAGTAAGACGCTAACTGGGCACACCTTTATTCTGGTGCTTTCCCACAATTTCCGTCAATCAGTTATATGAAGATTTCAAGGGTACATGTGACAATAGACAAACAAGCTGACCTCCTTTTAAAGTCATGCTTTCTATACTTGAAAAATGAATAACTAAATGTGCCGAGCTACAACAATGATCAGATATAAAGAGTATAAAAAAACAGTGACTCAAACAGATGTCAGTGTAAAAAATCAATCAGTTGTAAAGTCTTTAAATCTTCATAAATCTGCAAAAATTTCCAAATATAGCAATAGTGATGAATATTTCTTGTTCCTTCACCAAATGCACCACGTGCACCACACCTGATATAGTGGTGCTCACCTTTTTGATAGACCCCAGCAAGAGATCAAATCAGGCAATTCCCTTCTTAACCAGGGAATGGGGCCCACAGCTCCAATAGCTCACAGATGTCCTCCAATGGTGTTATCAGACCAGCAAACAGATCTGTGCAACACTTCTTAAATATGAAAGCAATAGCCTCCAATCTTTATCGATCTATAGGCCTCCTCAGTATAAGGTGTCAATGCCAGGATCGTGTTGACCCAAAAAAAAAAGCAAATCACTGTAGAGATCAATGTGACCTCAAATGCTCCACCTTATGCGCATTACGTCCAGCGTGACTTAATCAGGGATCAGCCATAGGGCGGAGCATTTGACGTTACATTGATCTCTACGACTGACGGCCGCAGTCATTTGAAACTCTTGCACATACTCTTAAGATAGAGTCCATGCTATGTTACCACTGCTTTTATGTGAGTAATTTTCTTTTATTAAATCATACTCTGTTTGGATGGTACGCGCTATGGTGTTTGCTTTCTTTTTTTGGTCAACACGATCCTGGCATTGACACCTTATACTGAGGAGGCCTATAGATCGATAAAGATTGGAGGCTATTGCTTTCCTATTTAAAAAGTGTTGCACAGATCTGTTTGCTGGTCTGATTGCACCATTGGAGGACATCTGTGAGCGATTGGAGCTGAGGGCCCCCTCCCCTGGTTAAGAAGGGAATTGCCTGATTTGACCTCTTGCTGGGGTCTATCAATAAGGTGAGCACCCCTATATCTGGTGTGGTGCATTTGGTGAAGGAACAAGAAATATTAATCACTATTGCTATATTTGGAAATTTTTGCAGATTTATGAAGATTTAAAGACTTTACACCTGATTGATTTTTTACACTGACATTTGTTTGAGTCACTGTTTTTTTATACTCTTTATATCTGATCATTGTTGTAGCTCGGCACATTTAGTTATTCATTTTTCACGTATACACACTCACAGTGGGTGTACATTCCAGTGCCTTGAAGCTGTTAGCTTGCTTATTGGCGCAGTTCATTTTCTATATTTATTAATGCTTTCTATACTTGTATATAAACTTTAATGCCAACTGCCCCCTTCACCCTCCCCTTGCAATCTATAGACCACTACAGACCTCAGATCAGCAGGTGACCCTGTCTAAGCATAGTGGCTAAGCGGTTCGCACTTCTGCCCTGGTTTAAATCCTGGTCAGGACACTATCTGCAAGGAGTTTGCATGTTCTCTCTTTGCTTGGTTGGCTTTACTCTGGTTTCCTCTCACACTCCAAAGTCATGCTGGAAAGCTAATTGGCATCAGTCTAATTTAGCCCTGTATGTGTGTGGGTCATAACCCAGCGCCCGGGTTCCTGATTGGAAAAGAAGCCAGCTACCCGCTCCCTCTGACCCGGAAGTTCCAGTATTGGAGGTAAATATCGGAGCATTTGGGCGAGTACAAGTTCTCCCAAATACTCGGTATCAGCACCAATGTTTATTTAGCTGTTTGCCTGGAGTTTAGCTTTTTGCCTGGAGTTTAGCTTTACACTTTGGAAATAAACTAGCTCATTGGTAAGGATATACACTTACTCTCTGTATCCAGTTTAAAAAATGTATCTGAATTATGTCATTGTTTATGTTACTTTGTGTTTTTTCCTGTTTTGTTACCAATAAAAACTTTACTTAAAAAGAAAAAAGACAAAAGGCTCCATTCTTTCCAGTGTACCCTGCAGCCATTGGATAAGGTCACTCCCTGTTCAGTAGTGGGGGAGGGGGTGGGGGCTATAGATTACATGGGGAGTGAGAGGAGCAGTGGTCATCAACATTTTATTAGTATACAGTACTATGAAATCATTAACCCAATATGCAGCTAGTAAATTCAGAACTCCGGATCTGCCTACTCGTTTTGGGTCAGTAAATCAGAGGGAACTGAAGCCACTGGATAAGTTAGTATTGTCAGAATACTTATTTCAGTAATAACAAGTTTCCTTTAAACAAAATGAATATTCTAGGAAAGATAATAGTTTTACGGGTTGTGCAAGTACGGGAACTGCCAAGCTTTCCGCTTTTATATATCACACTAATTTGATTTACATTCACTGAATTACTGTAGGTGGTTATAAAAGGCCAATTAAAGAAATTAAAATGGTAAAGAAAACTCCCCACAGATCAACAAATAAATGTCTTCATTTCAAAGTTGACTTTTTAACAATGCAAAGTAACTTGTTAAATCAGGCCAGAACAGCTGTGGCATTCCTTCCTTGTATGCGTTACCAGTAGAGTGGTTACTATCCACTTCATAAATATGTATGACTGTGTCACAGAGCAAACTTACTGTCACTGTTAGTAGATATGCATTTATATGGAATTTGCAGAAGAGTTACAGAGTTTTACCCCTTGGAATTGTCATGGAACCTTTTCAATACATTGATGAATGTTTCAATGTGTATGATAAACCTGCTTTAAAGGGAAGTTGCGAACAGTGGCATCTCTAGCCTTTTAAGCTTGGGGTTGCTGGTGATGTATGCAGGGGGGGCAGGAGGGGTGCATGGCGAGGCGGGTATTGGTGGGCAGGAGGGTTGTGGCCTCTGCATCTCCCCACTCAGCTTTGGCTCCAGCTGTGGCCCGTGTCCTGTTCAGTTTCTGGCAACCAGTGACATCACTGAGCGGGACACCGGCCAGAGCATCCAAGATTGCTAAGAGCTGGGCGAGGAGATGTGTATGGCCCGGGTCTGAGCAACCTGGGATGCTCCTGCCAGAAAGGGGGTGACAGGCACGTGACCCAAAGAGATGCTGCCTGAGGCAATAGCCTCATTATAGAAATAAGCCTGGACGTGAACACAGAAATATGGAATAAGTCAGCGCTAGGGATGATCGCATGTGCTTGGTTTTGGTTTACAGCCCATCGTAAATCTTGAAAATTGTGAACTTAAAGAGTAATTCCACTTTTGTTAAGAAAAAAAAAATCAATCTCCTCTGGATGATAAGTGTACATTGCAAGGATTTTAACCAACTGTTAAAGTTTCCTACCAGTTTCTGTACTGAATAACCTTTCCAGACAAATTACTGAATGGAAGGGTCTGGGATCATTATAATCAGCTGGTGGTCTTCTTGTGTTGTAACAGGGAAAGGTGCAGTGTCAGCATCCCTTTAGTAGTAATTAACCCTTAGGAAGTATCTCACCAAAAATGAAATTTCTATTGCAAGGGATGCCCAAAATTCCACTTGTGCCTTAGTGCAGACTTCTGGTAAAAACTGTTTGCCAATCACAGAAACAGGAAGTGACATTTCTGGGGGCATTCTGTACACCTACTGTGTACAGAACACCTCCAGGTCACCAGGGCATTGACGTCTTTGACAGATATACAACATTACAACAAACTGGTTTGTGCAAGAAATGTATATGCTATCTTCATTTTTTAAAGATTTTAAGTGAAGTTACCCTTTAAATCAAAACTCCATTGCATTCTCCACTGAAATCTGGAACATCACTTATGTCCATTTTTGGAGCTTATATGTAAGGGATTGTCAAACAAAGGACATAGGGATCTGCCCTGGAGGACATGTAACAATGCAAAAAATATATTTTAAAAAGTTGAGCGACTTTGGAAAAATACCAATCCTTTCTAATCCATGCTTTTGGAAAGGACTTTAAGAGAAATTAACTTACCCAGAGCATTGCGCCACCTCTGCCTGCCCCACTATTTATACATTTAGCTGTATGCGCTATGCAGAACCCCTCATGCAGAATATAACTTCAATACAAATTAGTTAACTAAATGTGAGCTTGTAGTCCATCACAAGAGCAAGCTTGGAGTGGTGGCTACTTTACAACACAACAGTGGCGTGCGGTACCTTCGCTTCTTGGTGAGGCATTCCCCACCCCCATACTGCCAAAGCCCCACCCCCATCCCGGCAAAGCCCTGGCTAGTGTGAAGGAGGGAGGAGACAAGGAGGAGCCTCCCTGTCCCTCACTTGCTCATCACTGCTGAGGCATTGAGATCGATGGCCTCAGTGTTTTTTCTTTTCTTTTTTTTGATTGGACAGCTTGGACCAATGGCGCTTTGCCATTGGTCCAAGCCATC